GGTTAGTACCAGTGGCCCCCCTCTCAGGATTGTTGTGACAATGCAGAAAAGCTCTTCATTCACTGTTTGGATTAGAGTAAGTGGTCACCAAGTAGAGCTGGTTAGCTGGTTTTTAACGGAAAGACTTCAAAGGAGATGAAAGTGGAGAGGAACTGATAGAATTCAAGGAACAAACCAGGCAGATATTGGAAAGGGGTGCAATGCAGGAACTATAAAAAGTCAGCAAAGGGAGAGGCAGGCCTAGGAAAGCATTTTTCTTCTTCATATTGTTCCCCAGCCAGGCCACGGCTGAGCTACTGCACCTCCATCACAAAGTTATGTGCAAACAGCAGAGATTGGATTCGAAATCAAACAGCTAGCTCATTCCTTAGAAGTTGGAGAGATATTCCTTAAAGCTGGAGAAATATTTGTATTTTGAATCTGCCAAGATCAGTGATTTTTATGTTAGCAGATTACTAATTTCAATCACTTGCAAAGACCTTCTATCATATTAAGAATACTTCACTTAATAAACACACCATGAAAATGACAGTGCTTGGGTGGGTTAGGAAAGTGATGAGAACTGCCTAACTTCTCAGTTAATTTGTTCTGTAGATATTTGTCCTCTTTACACCCCTTCCCCATCTTCAACCTCCAAAACCAATAGCCAGGACAACAAAAACCTGAAAGTACAGGTTACTACTTTGTTATTTTTCACAATGTTGGATCTGAAACCAAGTATTCAAATAAAGTACAAGCTTAAATAGTGTCCATGGGGCAATCATGCGAATTTATAATCCCCAATTTACATCCCTTGACAGAATATTCATGAGTTATACTCAAACTACAAATAACATTCAATGACGGTTGTATTTCAGTAGAAACACTATTACATGTTCAGGTTTATAAGACCCAGGCATTTGAAATTGTATAACTCCCCAATCTGAGGGAGATGCATTCTTCTGCTTGCTAGGAGGCATTTGTCCACTCCTAACCTTTTTACCTCCAGAAAATAAAGGAGGCATGTGACTTGAAAATGGAATTAACCTTGACTGAAAGAAATAATAAAAATCATTAATGTCTTCACAATCTCCATAGCACGCCTACAGGGCAGATACTGGTGCTGCTTCTGTTTCCCAGCATGTACTATATCTTGCTAATCCTCAATAAATATGGAAAACTGATCATTTCACAACTGAGAATTGACAAACCGGAACACATTTCTCATTTGAATAGACGAGATAAGCAGGTTGCCAACAACACTGCCATCTCTGCCTTTGGGTGTGCTGTGTCCCAGGCAGACACTATCAGTTCATTCTTAGGTCACTGCTATTGCATGTTTGTCTGTTTCTGGACCAGAGCTCAGACTCACATTCCACACGGCCTCCTTTCTGCCTGTCTGAGGGACCACGCTGCTGGAACATAATTTACAGAAATGCATACCTCCAATTAAACCATTCCAGGTGTAAATCTCTTGCCCGGAGAGCAAATGGAGTAACGAATGGGATTCATGAATATAAATTGGGCCTCCTTTAGACTTAAGTTTTCATTTCAAAATTGTAGAGCTTCATTCGCTCCCCACATAAATCTTTATTTGCCTTAAGTGTGCTTACTGTGGGAAGCCCAGAACAGAGCTGGTAGCCCATTGCTATGCATAGCTGAATATTAAAGTTCACAAATCATCAGACGGAGGGAGGCATGCAGCCTCTGCGCCAGGTCCGGACTCTCGGCAAAGATGAATCACACTCCCACAGACTCTGCCCCTTTATTGGGAAGCAGCCATGCTACCCCCTCGCTCTTTTCTCTCCTTGAATATTATCTCATGTGTGTCTTCCAGAATGTTCTGTTAATAGAGATGTGCTACCATTCAATAATCATAAGAATTTTCACCCCCATTTGGGCTTAAAGCTGGTAATAAAAGTGACTCTCCTAGGCCACCTCTATTCAGTTTTGAACAGATTTGTGAAAGGATGGGAGGAGTCACTAAGCAAATACATAATAGAAGCAACTGCTCCTTCTCACTACTCCCCCTCACCCACCTCTTCTGACCTCCTCTCTCCCCTGCTGCCCTCTCCTCTTTTTGTCTACATGATAGCTGTGGGCATTCTGCTGAAGGCAGAGGTCAACTGGCCTTTCACCATATGGCCAAATTCAAGTAAAAAATTTAGGACATTTTTCTAATTTTCAACCTGTACTTTGACTCTCCACCTGGAAATAAGGCTTTATTGTATCACAGGGACTTCAGAATGGGTTCACACTGCCTGCCCTTTGCTATAGAACTCATTGGTCAGGAAGATGGTTGGTCCTAAGTTTTTTACAACCACACCCAATTACGTTCTCTGTATTCACAATTATTGCTACAATGAATTTGGTGTGGCTGTTTTACCTCCAGAAAATAAGTGGTGTGTGGCTAGGAGAAATGTGAAAATGAAATAGTAAAATAGCAACAGACTTTTTTAGAGTCAACAGATATATGAATTTGAATGGAAGACCTAGACAATGGGAAATAGAAAACATTTATTATGGGCAATTAATATTAAAAGAAATTTCTCCTATGGGTTTCTGCGTATGAGGCATTCTGGGAGGTAGTGAGGATTGTGCCATGGCCATAGTCACATTGCTTATTTCCTAGTCTGATGGTTTTTCCCTGCTGTTATGAACTGTAAAGGATTTTAGCTGATGTCACTAGTCTAACCCGCAGAGCCTATTAAAGGAAGGCCGTAATTGGGTACTGTGGGCACAATGTGGCTGCTGGGGAGTCACCACTCTTAATTATATTCTTAATAGGTGGTGACTTTATAAAACTTCAGAATCACTCATTAAAACTATGAAAATGAAGTAAGAAGAGAATATGAATGTAAAGCAATGGGACATGTAGAGAAAGCCAAAAGATGACTTTCTAGATGACATACCTGCTCCACCCACTGCTTGCGGGCACAGGCAGCCCTCTCAAGCCTGCTCTCTGGTATTCCAGACTGACTACTCCTTGTGGCATCTCTTTGATGAATATAGCTGACCTCCTAACTCAGAGGTTCTTGCCAAACCAGGTTTCCACAATATTTCTAAAATGGACTATTTGTTGTGTGGCCAAGGAGAGTAAAATGTTGTCCTCCATAAAGACTGTACTATAATTTTATCCTCCTTCACCTTCCTCAATATAAGGTAAAACTCTCGCATGCGCTAAAAAATATAGATTATTAATAATGCATAACAATTAGGAATTTTTTTTAGCTTTTGTCTCATTTTGGAAATCTAGTTGTAAGACTTACTTTAATGTTCATGTTGAGAAAAATCTAAGATCCTCAATGTTCATGTTGAGAAAAATCTAAGATCCTCAGAGAATTGTATTAAGAAAGCAGCTGCAGTGGGAATGCAGATTGGTGCAACTGCTATGAAAAGCAGTATGGATTTTCTACAAAAAGTTAAATATAGAACTGCTATTTGACCCAGAGATCCCACTTCTAGGATATATCCTATGAAATCCAAAAGATCAACCTGAAAGAATATATGCACCCATATGTTCATGGCAGTGCAATTGACAATAGCTAAGATCTGGAAACAGCCCAAGTGCCCATCAGTAGATGAGAAGATAAAGCTGTGGTACATTTATGCCATGGAATACTATGCAGCTATAAAAAAAGGATCGCTTACCCTTTAAGACAACATGGAAGAACCTGGAGAGTATTATGCTAACAACACTATTAAGCAAAATTAGCCAGTCAAAGAAAGAAAAGTTTTATATAGCCAATCAAAGAAAGAAAAGTTTTATATAATCTCACTCATATGTGGAACCTAATGAACAAAATGAATTTATGAACCAAGTAGATCCAGAGACATAGAAACATAGAACAGACTGATGAATCTCAGAGGGAAGGCGGAGGTGGGTGGGAGGATGGATAGAGATTAACTAAAGAACTTGTATACATATATGCATAACCCATGGACACACACAATAGTAGGGTGAAGGCCTGGGGGTTGAGGAGACATGAGTGGAGGAGGTTATTGGGGAAAAAGAAGAGGGGGCAACTATAATACTTTTAATAAGAGAGAGAGAAAGAGAGAGAGAGAGAGAGAAAGAGAGAGAGAGAGAGAGAGAGAGAGAGAGAGAGAGAGAGAGAAGCTTCCCTTATTCCTAGGGAAGTCAGTGCATTTAGTAACTTGGGCTCTGGAAGAACCTTGTTGACAGCAGGAAGCAAATTGGTTTCATTTCTCTGCTACCATAACATTTCACCTAAACCATCACTTTTCCACAACATGTACAACAGTTCATAGCCTTCAAGAATACTTAAACTACTTGTTGTGGTGATTAAAATAATTAGAAAAAACAAATGCTGGCCCAGCAAAAGAAAAGAAACTCAACTAATTACCCACCCAGAAGTATACAAACAGAAAAAATTTTTACATGTTGCCTTCTGGATCATCTGTTAAATGTATGTGGTCACTTATTAGAGTGTTTCACCAGAATGTTCTCACAGAACAAAAACATGCAATATCTTTCAATTGCTGTTATGGTCTTTTGTCTAAGGGAGGGAATCGTTTTGTTCATGAGACACAGAAAGTAGAATGCATGATTGATGCCCCGTGGGTGACATGAGGTTATGCAGAAAGGTGAAAAAGTAAGTGTGTCAATTTAATTAGAAAATAACTTGATAATCTGAATTCTGCAAATGTCATCAAAACCAAAGCAAAAGACATAGGAAAGATATAAATTTTATCTGTCAACTGATGTCAACAGAGGTGCCTGTGTTTGTCGTGAATTTACCATTGTCGCGTGCTCATTGGATTATTCTGCATAAAGATGGAAATATCAGTCAACTTTGGAGGCCATCCTCTTGTCCCTCTTAGAACCCCTACCCCCCCCCAAAAAAAAAGCATTTTTATAAAACAAGCATTTGGATAATTTCCTAATGTGGAAATTGAGGTGTCTGAAAGTTGGCTTGTAAACAAATGCTCCCACTCCACCAAATATCACTTGTGTTTGTCCTGGCACAACCAGTTCAAAAGATGGTTTTCCTTTGCAGGTTACCAGCCCGTCTTGTCTGGTCAACAGGGGTTCCAAGGCCTGATGGGAGTGCAGCAGGCTCAGAGTCAGAGCGTCATGAGCAACCAACCTGGAACTCCGGTGCAAAGTGTGATGGTCTCCTACCCAACAATGTCTTCTTATCAGGTGCACATCAGCAGGGTTGTAAAATAGCACCAGCCAAACAAAAGGCTGTGGGTACACCCCCATTCTGGGCAGGTGCTAGGCACAGCTACTATTCATGGTTGACTGAGTCAAGGTTATAACAGACGAATAGAACATGGGAAATGCCTGCTTCTATAATTACCGTGGCAGGTGCCTGCTTTGCCAAGTGTGGTTCCATATAAACTTTCTATTCATGCAAGAAAAGTCTTTAGTCCAAACTTCTATTGATGAAGACCTTCAGGCATTCCATAGAAATGCTGCTTATTGGGAGAAAGCCCTCAAATTACCATTCATTGTTTTACATACCCAAAAAAAATTTCATTTTACCATAATTATAAGTTATGAGATTTTAAAATGGCATCTCGGATTTGTTCAAAGGACATTTATGGAGCCTAACAACTGCACTTCCCATAGTGCTATGCACTCTAGAAGAGGAAGTGGAGGGTAGTAAAATGCTTTAATCATAGTGTTTAGCTGCACCAAGTACCCAGGTACTTCTGCCCCTGAAGAATTTATCCTCAGCCCTCGTATCCTGACAGTCCTTACTCACACTGTGTCCATGTCTACCTCCAGCTTCATGTTAGATATTATCTAAAGCTGAGAGGGACTGAGGAGCCCCTCTTGCTACAGTTGGCTCTAGGCCACTTTGTTTGCAAAAAAAAAAAAAAAAAAAACAGAATAGGAGCATGGATGGCTTCCCCATCAGAGAAACCCAGAATGGAGGACCAGAGTGCTGTCCCAGGACAGTAACAACAAGAGAGGACAGAAGCTTCGAACTAACACCTCTACGCATTGACTGCATGCCAGACAGGTACCAAGCAGTGTACATCATCATTGCAATCCTCCAGGTGGCACTTGGAAGTGCCTGGCATTATGCAAATGGTCTAGGAAATGAAAGAGATTCAAGTGACTCATCCAATGTGAAACAGTGAATAAAAGGTCGAGTTGAGATTCGTGAACCCAAAAACTTGAATATTTTTCACAACATCAGAGTATCTCATTGCATACCCCAAAATAACCTCTTCATGAACAGTTCTCTCTTGTGTCTTTTTACAGGTGCCAATGACCCAGGGTTCTCAAGGACTGCCCCAGCAGTCATACCAACAGCCAATCATGCTACCTAACCAGACAGGTCAAGGGTCACTTTCAGCCACTGGAATGCCTGTTTACTGTAATGTCACACCGCCGACCCCTCAGAACAACCTTAGGCTGATTGGCCCACACTGCCCCTCCAGCACTGTCCCCGTGATGTCAGCTAGCTGCAGGACAAACTGTGCGAGTATGAGCAATGCTGGGTGGCAGGTCAAATTCTGAGCGCCCTGGCTGTGGTACATTTCTTCAGATACGACTCATGGCCTTTAAGGGAAGAGGAGCAAAGTGGGAAAACTGGCTGAGGACTTAACTATTCACTCAACACTCAAATGATTGCTGCTGGTATTCTGTAAAAAAAACACACAAAAAAAACAACAAAACAAAAAACAAAGACTAATACACATATTAGCTGGTTAATGGTGCATATTTCTTGTCATGTCTGCTAGGTATGCCTTCATAGCTTAGCTAGTGACATGAATTCATCAAGGTAAGATTTTCTCCTACCACTGAACACCACTGTGTAGACCATAATATCCCTAATTTGGATTATTAGTTTTGTACTTTGTGTTGAGTTTGTGATGCTAAAAGTATTTAAAAAATTATATACTGAACTCATATTGTACCAAAGCTGTAATGGAAAAGCAAAGAGTTGATGACTGGAAGGAATAATTTATATACACTATAGAGTTTTCTTTTTTTAATGGATATATACTGTATTGTAGTGTTTAATCAAAAATAAAACTATTTGACCTTATGGAGGAAGGTCATGTTTTTACCACCAGTTTGGTTTACTCTCTCTTCCAATATGTGTTTGCTATTATGTCACTGGTTTCCTCTTTGAGCTCTATTTCATGAATAAGACACGGAAAAGATGTTCCAGGGGGTTATAAGTGAAGAATCACACTGGAGATGCAGAATAGGCAAACCCTTAGCCAACTGCAATCCCTTGTCGTCATATGTCAGAGGTCCCAGTAGTTAGATGGCATCTATTCCATCCATTTGTTGACTTCTCATTTTTGAAATATATACCTTGATTTTAATATTAGGCCTATTGACTACCTGTACCTATTCTTCCCCAATTAGGATAACCTGAGTGTCTTGATAATAGCAGTCCTACATCCAACCCTGTTTGACCTTCATTCAAGTTTCAACTACCTGGATGACAAGATTTCTTCTCTTAAAGGGACATTAGAAGGGGCACGGTCTAATTCCATTGATTATACTGGGTCATGCAATGTCACGTGCCACTCGTAATGACTCAAAGGCTAATGTTTGTCCCAGTAACTGAAAATGAGGTAAAATATAGCAATCATTTAGTCACAAAGATTCGGAACATTGACAAAAAAAAAAAAAAAAAAACTTGTTTAAAGAGCCTTGTTCCAGGCATTGGCCAGGAAGTTTGATTGATTAGAGCACTGTCCCAACACACCAGGATTGTGGGTTCAATCTCGGGTAAGGGTGCAGTCAAGAATTAACAAGGAATGCATAAAAATTGAACAACAAATGGATGTTTTCTCTCTCTCTCTCTCTCTCTCTCTCTCTCTCTCTCTCTCATCTAAAAAAATCAATAAAAATGTTTTAAATAAAATAAAGTAAAAGAGCCTTCTTTCTGTATAATTCCAAAACATGTAATCTCCTATAGATTCTGCAATTAAGATTGATTTGACAAATAACAGAACTCTGAATGTCAGCTTTGGCCCACTGATTAGGTTTTATAGGAATAAAATCCCAGAGCTTTTGCTTTTCATAGCACCTGACTAGTAGTTTTGTTAATACTCTCTGCCTAAAAACTATTGCCAATAAGAGGGTACAAAGTATACCTGGATAATCCCCACTTACCATTTCAACCAACTTGGTCATTTACAGCTGGAATTAAAACAAATCATTTGGGCTTCCTAAGTAATATATAAGTAATATCTTAGAATAGCCAATTCTCAATTATTTCCATAAAAGAATCCTTTCTTAGGATACTTATAGTTGCTATATGAAAAAGACCATAGACAATTATAATTGGGAGTCATGGTTAAAGAAGGTTATATGATCTTTAAAAAAGAAAAAAATAAAACCTGATTTATGCAAGCCTTTAATCTATCAGTTTATATTATGAATTTCCAAGAGGGAGACATAATGTGTACAGTTTCTCAAACTTAATTAAACATAATATCCATTTATTACAGACAATATCAAAAGACTAATATCACAAAGAACATTTTTTAAAGTCATAGGAGAGTCCTAAAATAAGAGTGCAAGTATAGTTACTTTATTTCTATAGAAACCATGTACATTAATAAAAGATAAAAATGCAAATTGACCATACTTTCACAACACCTACCAGACAATAAGGAGTATGCAAATTAACCCAACAAAGATGGCAGGTTAATTTGCATACACAGGCACTGAGTTGCTGGGACAGGACACTTGTGTCATAGCCATGGCAACAACACGGGCATTCCGCACCACCCCAGCCACTCGGGCCCTCATGGTGGGAAGGTGGGAAGGTGGAAAGGCAGCTCTGGACTAGAGCAAAGGCAGTGTCAGCAGCCAGGGGAAGGAAGGCCCATTCTTGCATCAATCTTTGTGCATTGGGCTTCTAGTATTATATATAAAAATAAAATATCACAACCCTACTTCCAACAGCTTTTGGTGATTGAGTGCACACTTTCTCCATGAATGTGTGAACCTAGAAGGTATGCCATAATGCCAATATTTCTAAACTCTTATTTTCAAAATTATTAACATTAAAGAACTTGGTAATTATATTTACATCTAAAACTATAGTAATAGTTCTATAGATATATAATATAGGAATCTAATGATCCTGTATACTCTATGTGAGTATGAAAGGCATGAGTGACTTACACATTCATTTATTGCACACTTACTAATTTTTAAAACCTTGAGCCACAGTTGATGAAGCCCCTGCTCTAAGGAAGTTTATGAGTTTTCAGAATTAACTAGAGCAATCTATAAATCACGAAAAATATAGAAAATTTGCCACAGCTCTTGTAAAAAAACACATGTTAACGGGAGGTTTTCTTAGAGAAGGAGCAGATGGTTTGGGGCTGTGGTTTTATGAAATTACCTCACTGATGAAATTTGGGTATGCAGATCTGATGGTGGAAGAGTTCTAATTCCAGGCAAGAAACATGCCTGAAAGAAAAGGAAAGAAATGGGGAACATGAGCATAATCAGGTTGACTGGAGAAGGAGGTGAGTAGATAGGAGGAGACAGGCTGAGTATTTGAAAATTCATAATGGGCCTGGGTGGCACAACCTTGAAAGCCAAAGAGGGAACAGGCGAACAGAAGCTTCTGAAGATGTTTGAATGAAAGGTAATATGACCTCAGCCATAGTTTATAAGGAAGTATGAGCCTCAAGAAGTAGGATGGATTGAAAAGGCCCTTCCCTCAGCAACTGGGGATGAACACCCTATAGTTAAGGCCTGGCACTGAGCTGCAAGTACAGCATGGCTGGAATACGTCAGAGGGAGTCCTAGCTTCTAAGTCTTACCTCTTAGCAATTCACTGCATGCATGGCCAAGCTTTCACGGTGTGTATCTTGTTTTTGCCTCTTGGACAGAAACACCTGCATGTAAGTGCCCTATCTGAGGCTGCCTGACAAGGCACAGTTACTATAACCTGTCAGGGTAAAACAAAGACTGAGCTGAAATTGGAGACAGCCTGGGAAGGCTGCCAAGTCTCCATCACAGTATAAATGGTATCAATTTTTACAATATGCAGTGGAATCTGATATTGAATTCCTATTCTCTTAAAAAAAAAAAAAAAGAAAAAAAAAGGTGAGAGCTCTTATTCATTATGGCTCAGAAAAAAAATAAAATTGCTTTCTGTACCTTTATGGATGCCAGTTCTACACAAGACCAGAAATCCTTGCTTCTGCCCATGTGATTTTGTCCCAAGCTTTCTCTACCAAGAAAGGGCTTGAGATTATTTTCCTACAGTTCTCAACTTCAGTGTTTGTCTCAAGTGCAAATCTGTATCACGTGTTTTCTGTGGGGTACTGTGACCTCCCATCTTCTCTACAAAATGATTTGCCACTATTTTGAGATATCAGTGGCGAGTGCGTCTCCCTCTTTGAGCTGGCCCTCCTGCTCTAGGCATTGTGTGTGCACAGCGGGGGTCAGAGGCATCTGATAATCTTCCGTAGAGGAAAATCATGTCCTGATTGATGTCCTCACACAGATCTGATTCTTCCATTGGGCTTGAAGCTGATTTCTCTACCATGATATTCACCAGCCCCCTTGCTCCAGAAGCTCAGGGAGCGCCGGGATGCTTGTGTTTGTTATTTTATTTGTTTTGTTTTGCTGCTTTATTCCATTTTACTCTCAATGTTGGCACAGAAGGAGAGGAGAGAGGTCAGAAATTGAGCAAACAGGGAAAGACATGAATCTGAACAGGGGTGAACACTGAAACTGGATTTGATAGACAGTCAAGGAACAAACCCAGCAGGGATTCACAGTGAGGCACTGGCCCAGACTGGCAGCAGCTGGTCAGAGGAGAATCGTTCTGAATGCTCACAGCTTCTCTCCTTCAGTGTGTGGCACATAGAGGGGACTGGAGGCTTTGCAGGGGTGGGGAGGGAGAAAATAGGGCAGTGGTCGGCAAACTCCTTAGTCAACAAAGCCAAATATCAACAGTACAACGATTGAAATTTCTTTTGAGAGCCACATTTGTTAAACTTAAACTTCTTCTAACGCCACTTCTTCCAAATAGACTTGCCTAGGCTGTGGTATTTTGTGGAAAAGCCACACTCAAGGGGCCAAAGAGCCGCATGTGGCTCACGAGCCGTAGAGGTCTTGGTATTCAAAATAGAGCAGCTTATTGGAAAGTTTTGAATCACTTTCTTGCTAAAAGATCCAGTGGCCCCATAGGAATGGCCCTAGAAAATACTTCTGGCTAATGGTGGTGGCAAGTTAGGGCCATACTGCTTCCTCTGTTTCCCCAGAGTTTTCAGTGTGTTAATATCTTGGAAACCATCAACGTTTACATTGCCATGATGCTAGCATAAGACTCCCCAGCTTCCTGCAGTTTGATTTCTTTTGTAGGTGACGTTTGCAGCTGCCTTTCCTGGGTTCTTAAGCAAGAAAGTCAGTAGACACCTCTGTCTGTGCAAATATGTCCTCCCCTTTTGCGTAAAAGACAGCTCACACTGGCTCACATTTCCTTGAAGAAACAGGAGTGGTGCTTCCTTTCCATTACAAGGATG